GGAATACAAGCAACTTTCTAAAGAAATAAAAACACTTAAAGATTTATTAAGTCGGCATGGTATTGCATACAAAGGAAATTCTGGTGAGGTTTTTTTTATATCGTTCTTTTTCATTATTGGCTATGCAAAATGTGAAATAAGCAAATGCTGTTTTCAGTTACAGAAAGGATTGAATAATGTGTTTTATATGGAGGTAAAATTCAGTAGACAAAGTTTTTAAGAAGCACTTAGGTCTTGATTCCTGTGCGAGAAGACTTATTTTGTGTCCCCAAAAAACTGTTAATGACTTGAAATTTTCCTTTTATGGAAAAATTTTGACTGTTTTGTAATTGAGGTTTGTTTCCAGTACTTAAGGTGCCAAAGAAAATTGGTGTTACAGCATTCATAACACATAAGCACCTTTTAAGTGACTCCACTTTCTGCATAGTCAGTCAGTTGAGCGTGGCGCTGACAACGCTAAGGTCGCGGGTTCGATTCCCGCTCGGTCCCCATGTGTTGCCTGATGTAGTTGAGAGGTGGTGTCCCTGGCGGCAGGGAGGCTGGATTAAAATTATCTCTAAGGTCCCTTCCAGCTTAGGCCACTCTATGATTCTATGGCCTGATTTCTTTAAAACACTTGAAATGTTCTCTGTGTCTGTTTGAATTGTTTTTACCCTTTCTTAGTCACCTTTTTTCCCCCCTCTCTTTGAATTCTGTTAGGTAAGTACCGTATCACATGCAGTTTTTAGACGGAACAACTGTTTGATGCTGGCTATGAAGAAACAAGGCTTGCCTGGATTAATTCCAGACAACTTGGTTTTTGGTAGTGGTGGTGGGTGCTTTTGGTTCCCCCTCGATTCCTTTCAGTCCATCGTGCCCCTTATTACGTGAACCATTTGTCTAAGGAAGATTTAATTTTGCTGAATATATATTTACACCTTTTATGTTCAGAACTGGCACGTCAAGAAAACAATGAAGCTTAAAATTGGTGACAATGATTTCTTTTTGTTTTAAGAACTTTCTTCTCTGCTTTTTTTAAATTGGTGACTTTCTTTTCTAGGGAACAGTTACGTGAGAATTTTTGTAAAATGTTTTACCTGCATGTTTAAACTATTAACTATGTAATTTACACAGTATTTCTTAAGTAGTTCACTTAATTATTACATATCAGAACTGTATAGTCAAAAGTAGAATTCACAGCTTACTCTAGATGACTTATGTCAAAACTACTTAGTGAATTATGTGACAAAATTGTTATGGTGTTTAAAAGCAGAAATCACTGATGTCTTAAACTAACTATTACAGCTGAAAATACCAGTGTTGAACATGTAGCTCACAAACTGGCAACTGCAGTGACAACTGTTCTTAATGGGTCAAAGGATGATGAGCACCTGCATGGCGATACAGGAATCTGGAATGCTGCCGTATGACGAAACATGGGTGGTAAACAGCAAGTTCGTGTGTGTCGTGGCACCAAGATGATTTACCTCCTGCGAGTATCCTGACTTTCTAAATTTCTGCCCTAAAGCAAAGGGACCATAATGGAGTGAGGGTTTAACATCACTGCGAAGGGTTGGCTAGTTTCTGAGAACATTTGTGAAACTTCTTTGCTAAGGCTGGTGTTGGGTATAGGTTTACAGGTTCTTTATGTCCAGTCTCACCTTTGTTACTGTCTTTGATCAAGCATGGTAACAGGTGGTGTCAATACAAAATAGTTGATCACCAATGCTGTAAGGTGTTTTAAGAAAGGTAGAAAGTACAACATTAAGAACATGTTATCTCATCCGTGTGCTAAAATGTTTTCTGTGCAGACTTCAGCAGACAAAGCTTTCTGCCACTGCAGTGTGTAACAGGTCATTCTCCCCAGCCGTGTTCAATTGATGTCATCTTTGGGGAGCAGGTGGATAAAGTGAAAGCTGTTCCAGGGTCTGGTGGAAAGGGGCTGTAAGAACACCAGACTGTTGTGAAAGAATAGTTGTGTTAAGGGAATACATCTCTGTGTAACACGGAATAAAATGGGACTCTTCCAAAACAAGTTGTGGCCGCTTTAGTGGGGAAGTCGGCGGGCGCCGGGAACGCCGTCTCCCCGCCCTTT